CCACCACCACCACCACAGGGCTGGGAGACGGCAGGGCCGGGAGATGGCGGGGCCGGGAGACGGGGCTGCTGAGTCAAAGGCAGGCAGCTCCTCCCAGCTGGGGGGCCTGGGAGGTGCAGTGTGGTGAATGGTGTCCCCAAATTCATATCCCTGCACAGAACCTCAGAGTGTGACCTCGCCTGGAAATAAGGCCTTTGCAAATGCAATTAGTGAAGGATGCTGAGGTGAGATTATTCCAGGTTCAAGAGAGCCTTCAGACAGGTGACCAGTGTCCTTGTAAGAGACAGAAGAGGGGGTGACAAAGGCACCCAGAGCAGGAGGCAGTGTGATGACAGGCGGAGCCTAGAGTGATGTGGCCACAAGCCCCGGACGCCTGGGGCCACAGGAGCTGGAAGGGACAAGGAAGGGTTCTCCCTGGAGCCCTGGACGGAGCACAGCCCTGCTCACACGTGGTTTCAGACTTTTAGCCACCAGACTGTGAGAGAACACATGTGTGATCATTGGTTACGGCAGCCCTAGGATAAATCCAGGAGGCTTCCTGGAGGAGGGGGTGCCTGAGTGGAGTTCCTGAGGCTACATAGGAGGCCTCCAGGCAGAGAAGGGGAACAGTGCCCCAGGCTCAGGAGGAGCGAGTCGGCCAAGTCGGCCGCTCTGAGGACCTGCCAGCAGTAGATGCAGGGGGCAGGGCGGGGGGAGGCCCGGGGGCGGGGAGGCTGGGGCCGCACGGCCACCCTCCAGACACTGACCTGGGCGTGATGGTCCTCATTCTGATGCCGATGAAGCGCTTCTTCCAGTCTGCAAGGGAGACAGCGCGCTGGGTCAGACGCCCGACCACCTCGGACAGAGGCCTCCGGAGCCCCGAGGCTGCGCCTCCTGCTCCGGCTCTAGTCCAGCTCCGCCCCGGCAGCTTCCCGTCACCTGTCCTCAGCCCTGGGCAGCACACGCCACCCCCGACGGCTGCTCTGTCCCTCCAGCCTCCATTCAGAGCCGTCTGCTCACTCCCCTGCCATCCCCGTACCCCTCCCCGCGGCGGCCCTGTGAGCGCTGACCTCACCCCGGCCCACGGTGGGACACCAGCCGCACAACTCACAGACGGGCGCCTCCACCCCCAGCCCCTGGAGCCAGAAGCAGAGGCATCTCAGACCCCTCTTCTTCCCCACTGGATCCAGACCCGTGGGGCCCCTCTCCACGCTCCCTGCTCATGCTTGCTCCTGCCCGGCCTCCCACCTCCTGCCCGGCCTCCCTGCCTCCACTCCCGCGCCGGCCCCGATGCTTTATTCAAAGAGCAACCAGAACAAGCCTTGTACAGGCCCAGCCAGGAAGCCCCACTCCAGCCCGGAGGCCCAGAAAACACCAGGAGAGGAACCGGCCGCTGTGTTGGCAGGCACCTGCCAGGCACGGTGCGAGCGGAGGTGCGGGAACAAAGAAGGTGGCAAGCATGTCTGGAAGGAGGGAGTCAGGCAACACCTCCCAGGTGCGAGTGGGTGTCAAAGGGTGACCGGCGTTTCCCAGGGGACGCGGGCCTGGGAAGGGCACGATACCTCCTGGACCTGACTGGGCTGTGAAGGGTGAATAGGAGTTTGCAGAGGACAAGTGCTGTGCAGGAAGGGCACCATACGTCCCAGGTGTGACTGGGCACCGAAGGATGAGCAGGAGCTCACCAGAAGAGAGGGGTTGGGCAAAGCCACTCCCAGCAGAGGTGCGAAGGTGTGAAGAGTGTGGCGGGCACTGAGTGTGGGCTGGGGAAGGAGGGGCTGGATTCCACTGAGAGGAATAGGGGCAGGGCAGGAGGGGATCCGGGCTCCCCAACAAGCAGCACACGGAGGGTGCGCTGCAGGCCTGCGGCCAGCTGCTCACTCTGTCCACTCGAGAGACGAAGCAACTGGGGCTCAGGGAACCGTCATGACTGCTCCAGGCCACGGGCTGGTGACAGTTCCAGCTGGCTTCATGGCAGGCCGCCTGGCCCACCACTGGTGTGGTTTCACCCTGGCCTGCCCCCTGGATTCACCTGAAACATCTCACAAAGCCTTGTCTCTACAGTACAGTCCGTACCTCACACCCTCCCCCAGGGTGGGGCTGTCCCCGCCCTCCCCCAGGTGGGCGCATAGCTCCCCAGGGGTGCACACAGGCCCTTATTCTGAGCTTGAGGCTGAGTCATCACACCTTTTCCAAGAGAAGGACTTGGTTTGTGACCAAATGGACAAAGGAGACCCTATTTACCCTCCTGCCCATACAACTCGGAAACCAGACAAAACATGGGAAAGCACAGTTCTCAAGACCCTGGACATCAAGCTTAAAGGTGGAGGCTCCCGAGAGACGGAAAACAAAGTGAGGCCTGCAATGGCCCCACTTGCTGCTGACAAGTGTCCAGGCTGTGCCTCAGGGAGAGGACTTGGGTGCAACCCGTGGGCTCCCGGAATTAAAGAGAGATAACCGAGCCTCTGAGGGGACACAGTGGTGGAGACTGCTGGGCAGAAAGCCAGGGAGGAGGGGGCTTTGCTGGGGACTCCAGAGACCCTCAGAGGAGCCCCTTCAGGGATTCTGCTCAGCGCTGATGGTCATACGCCTGGAAGCAACGACCTGGTGCCAGGGGAGGACCCAGCAGACACAGTAGTGGGGCCATCCCAGGAGCTCATGCAGGGCCGGGAACGTCCTGAGAGGTAACTCATAAATCACTGGGCATCCGGTCAAGTATTCAGCACCCACTGCCACTGAGCTGAGTCCGGCTCCTGGACCTCACGAGTGACACAGTACAATGAGCTCCCCAGGGCACTCCTGGCTGTGGTCTTCCAGAAGCAACTGCCAGGACTTTCTTCCTGGTGCTGCGGGGGGCTGTGAACCACCAACCTTCTCGTCAGTAACCGAGAGCAAACTGTTTGCATCACTGAGGGACCTTCTGCCTAAACTGTGGGTCAGAATTAACTCTGGACTAAGCCCACCGAACAAAGCTTAAAAGCTAAATCTAGACAGTTCAAATGATTTCTAAACTTAACCGTGTCCCAGAGAAGAAGCTCAGGAACATTTACGGGAAAACAGAAACATCCAGCATCCAACAAAGTAAGATCAGCAATGCCTGCCGTCAAACAAAAATCTCCAAGCAAGTAAAGAGTGGAAAGCTCCACCCATGCTGAGGAGAAAGCCGGATGGAAACTGGCCGAGAAGTGACACTCACACATTCTGGACCACAAGATGTGTCATACAAAACATGCTGTCTGGTCACCATGGAATTAAACTATAAACCAATTACAGGAAAGTGTCTAGAAAACTCCTAAGTCCTTGAAAGCTTGAAAATGAACTTCTAAAGAAGCCCTCTTCAAAGGACAAATGAAAAAATAAATTAGAAAGTATTTTGAATTCGATTTAAAAATGCAATATAGGAAAACTTGTAAGATGCGGGTAAAGCAGTCCTTAGAGGGAAATTAATAGAACTAAAATGCCTGTATCAGAAAAGAGGAAAGGTCCCAACACCTACCTTAAACACTACAAAAAGAAGATCAAATATAAGAGTAAGGAGATGGAAGGGAATAATAACAGTGGACGTCAATGAACTGGAAAATGAAACGAAACAGAGAAAATAAACCAAAAGTTAGTTTTAAAATCAATGAAACCGATAAACATTAGTGCCAGGACAAAAAGAGAGAGAACACAATTATCAGCATAGAGAATGAGAGAGGTGACATCACTACAGATTCTACACACATTGGAAGGATAATGAGAGAAACTGCTGAGAGGGAAGATGACTCGGAGCACTTGCTGATGAAGATCAAGGACTCCAGCCCTTGTACGGATTGCACCTCGATGTAAAGAAAACACAGGTCCTCACAACTGGACTGATAAGCAACATCACAATCAATGGAGAAAAGACTGAAGTTGTCAGGGATTTCATTTTACTTGGATCCACAATCAACACCCATGGAAGCAGCAGTCAGGACATCAGACATCGTAGCACTCGGGGCAAATGTGCTGCAAAAGACCTCTTTCAAGTGCTGAGGAGCAGAGATGTCACTTTGAAGATTGAGGTCTGCCTCACCCACACCATGGTATTTTCAGTTGCCTCCTATGCATATGAGAGCTGGACAGTGGATAAGGAAGATGAAGATGAAGAGTTGATGCCTTCGAGTTGCAGTGTTGGCGAAGAATGCTGAACATCCCATGGACTTCCAGAAGAACCAACAAATCTGTCCTGGAGGAAGGGCAGCTGGAGAAGTAGCGGGCCACCGTGTCAACCCATCTCGTTGAGGGCCTTCCCCTTTTTTGCTGGGCCTCCACTTTACCGAGCATGATACCTTCTCCAGGGACGTGGCCCTTCTCACAACATGACCAAGTAGGTGAGCTGAGTCTGGCCCTTCTCGCTCGTAAGAAGCATTCCAGTTCTATGTTGACGTGCAGTCTGCGTGTCGAGGTGTAAGCATTCACCAGTCAGTGCTTCAAGGCATCCTCACTTTCAGCTTAGCAAGGCTGTGTCATCTGCACATCACAGGTTGTGACCTTTCCTCCAATCCTGACGCCGTGTTCTTCTTCACATAATCCAGCTTCTCAGATTATCTGGTCAGCATACAGGTTGAGTAAGTCTGGTGAAAGGATACAACCCTGACGCACTCCCTTCCTGATTTTGAACCATGCAGTATCCCCTTTTATGTTTGAACAACTGCCTCTTGGTCTATGTTCAGACTTTTAATGAGCACAATGAAGTGTTCTAGAATTCCCATTCTTTGCAATGTTTTCCATGATCTGTTACCATCCACACAGTCAAATGCCTTTGCATATCAGTAGAACACAGCTAAACATCTTTCTGGTATTCTTTGCTTTCAGCCAAGATCCATCTGACGTCAGCAATGATATCCCTTGCTCCACGTCCTCTTCTGACTCCAGCTTGGATTTCTGGCAGTTCCCTGTCTCTGCACTACTGCAACCACTGAATAATAATTCAGCAAAACTGTTCTTAGGTGTCATATTGATAATATTGTTGCATAATCCTGCATGCTGTTGGATCACCTTTCTTTGGCACGGGCACAAATAGGGATTTCCTCCAGTTCTTTTAGCAGTCCATGGTACTCTCAGCATTCTTCTCCAACAGCATAGCTCAAAAGCATCAACTTTTCTTCATTCTTCCTTATTCAGTGTCCAGCTCTCACATGCATATGAGGCGATTGAAAATACCATGGCTTGGGTTAGGCACCTTAGTCTTCAAAGAGACATCTTTGCTCCTCAGCACTTGAAAGAGGTCTTTTGCAGCAGATTTGCCCAGTGCAATATGTCATGTGATCTCCTGACTGCTGCTTCCATTGGCGTTGATTGTGGAACCAAGTCATATGAAATCTTTGACAACTTCAATCTTTTTTCCATTTATTGTGATGCTGCTATTGATCCACTTGTGAGGATTTTTGTTTGCTTTATGTTGTGTAATCCATACTGAAGACTATAGTCTTTAATTTTCATCTGTAAGTGCTTCAAGTCATCTTCAGTTTCAGCAAGCAAGGTTGTGCCATCTGCATAATGCAGGTTGTTAATGATTCTTCCTCCAGTCCTGATGCCACGTTTTTCTTCATATAGTCCAGCTTCTCGGATTATTTGCTTGGCATACAGATTGAATAAGTGTGGGGAAAGGATATAACCCTGATGCACTCCCTTCCTGATTTTAAACCATGTAGTGTCCCCTTATTCCATTCAAACGACAGCCTCCTGGTCAAGGTACAGATTCCTCATGAGTACAATCAAGTGCTTGGGAATTCCCATTCTTCTC